AGGGGTAGCTCAATGATAAAAAGTTAAGAATTTTTTAATAATTATTTTAAATGATATAGTTTTATATGATATAAATTATACCTACAATAAAATTTCACAACCTTTGCATACAACTTTTGGTAATCGTTCATCTTCTACATCTTATACTTATACAACTTTTTCCAGAATCTTTCCACATATTTTAAACTTTTTTTCTTTTTTTTTTTAAGACAAAATAAACAAATTCTTTCCATTATCCGAGTGAGTCCAAGCATGGTTTTTTATTAGCTTCATTGCACTATATACTATAATCAATGCAAATATAATTATTTATATCTTATATTATATTTCTTGTTCCATCTATTATAATATAATATTGGAATTATTATATTCTAATTTTTACAAAAAACTTGGATGTCTAAGTAATATGTTTTCTACTTTGAATTTTATAACGATTTTTGGTTTTTAGTTTTTTTTTTTCAAATATTCAATTTAAAAGGCATGTTACGCAACTAAAAAATACCCATACCCATACACAGAGAGGGATACTTGGTGCTCCCATTAAAATATAAAAAAATTATTGTAAAAAATTTAATTTCAAAAATGGTACCTATACAAATACTTGAATCGGTGAGAATAAGAACAGTACAAGTCATTTTCTAAAATCAATAATTTTTGTAAGAATATATAAATCATTTTACAGAATACGAATATTATATTTTATAAAATAGTTAAAAATATTATCACAAAAATGCATTTCAAAATGTCAACTTTTGGACTTGTTCCTAATCTCACCAATTTAATTAATGAAATAACATTTAACAAATAAATAAAATATAATCACATTCTCAACAAACCAGTAATCTATTACTAGAATCTAGATTCTAATAATTTAATCTAATATATGTACATATTCCATTAAACTCTGACTAGTTGTACAAGTAAATAGGTATGGTAATTAAAAATTTTATAAAAATGATTGTTTAAGCTTAAGCTTAAAAAAAGGAGTGCCTTCTGGCCTTTTCTTTAGAGAGAGTTTTAAATTAAAACTTTTAATTTATTTATCCACATCTGAATTAGAACCATAAGGTTTAATCGAAATTGTATATATGTAATTTACAACTATATATATTATTACGACTATAAGAGGTTTTAATAATGGGTAGGTCAAAAAAAAGTTTAGTAGTTTAAAGTGTGCATTTTTTTAACAAAAAATATTACCGCGTTTTTGCCGCCCTTCGATTTTTGGCGCCCATTGCCTGGAGCCGGCCCTGACGCTCACTACTAAAGTATTTGATTATCTCCAATACTGTGAAAATAATGTAGAACAATCAGGTAAAGCTTTTTAAATCCTAGTCTGTAAAAAAACTCTAACGCGTGGGCCTTCAAACTTTGAGCTCTGCACAAAAAAACTCACTTCTCAGCCTTGTGACATAAATAACTAATAGGTATTAGTTATTGACTATTTTTGTATATAAAAACCATAATTTATTAATTTCCATATAGTTTTTCGTATATCTACTTAAATAAAAACCGTTTTTTTGCAATTTCCTCAATAAAACAGCAGAAGTGACCCAAAGCAAACTGCGATTGTGATTGACGCGCCACTGATTGAAAATCGGAATTTTCTAATAAAGGGCTCCCTTTTTTCCTCGGCACAAAACAACAAGCCGCGCCCCGAACTGAAGCAGATGTTACCCGGAATCGACCCCATCGCATCGCGTCGCTCGTGGTGGTGCCTGCGTTCGGAATTGAAAATTATTCACTGCCTACGCTGATTCCTAATTGAAATACCTCTCCGCTCCGTTGCCTTATTGTTGTTGCTGTGCTGATTTATGTTTGCCCTAATAAAAATAGCTGTCCACAACAATACCCTAATCCTTCACTGAAATAAAATACATATTAAATGTTTAAATGCATTTTTACTAGGAATTTACAAAAAATTAGAAAATATTTTCAAACTTAAATATGTACCTATAAAGAAATAAAATGTTCTTATTTTTTTCGAATACCTTACAGTTTTTTAAGGATTAAAAGTTTTGTTGGACTATAGTCCAACCTAGAGGTTAGTTACCCTCTTAAAATAAATTAGTCAAAAATAACTAATTATAAGTCATATTTGACTAATTGTCATGGCGATAAAGCAGTCACTATTAATTAGTCAAATTCTAATGAATGAAATAGTCAAATTAGTAGATTTAAAATTAAAAAAGTTTTGACCCAGGCGGGGATTGAACTCAGTTATGTCGCTTGTCAAGCTTGTCAAGCTGTTGTCATAACGAAGTGTTGCTGTTTTAAGCTAAACTTTTTGCATCTTTGTTTGTTTTTATGGGCCATTTAACCATGGGGCCTATATGCATTTAATTCAAATAATACTTTGTTGTTGGCTGCAAACAAATAAAAAAATGAGTTACTTTTAACTCTCAGAAATAGTCAAAGATGGTGACTTATCTTAAATCAGTCAAACTTTAACTAGATATTTACGTAGTAAAAAATAACAATTTAAAAGTGAAAACGACTATTTTATTAGTAAAAAATGCTGGTACTAATTCAAATAGTAGAATTTTGACTATTTCATTTTAAGAGAGTATGATTTTAACAAAGTTTTTACATTTAGTAAAATTAGTTAAAAAAGTTTAAATATTACACAATGTTCAATCTTTTAAAAACACAAAGTAAATAAATTTATTTAAATACCCACTAAATGTCAGAGTTCGATAATAATTATAATTATAATTATTGCTAATGTTGATTGTGTTAAAAGATAATAAAATAATAAATGTCAATTTATAAACAGGATCATTATTTATAATAATTAAATATTTTGTAAAAGAAACATACATACCTGTATGTATATAATAGTTATTTGTATTTTTTTATGATTTTCAATGTTCATTAATGTTTAATTGTTTTAACATTTTTTTCAAATCGTTTTTCAAACCTTAATATTTTTTAAATAAACTCCTATCATATGCATATTTTTGAATTTATCAACGGATATTTTTATAATTTCTGGTAATACCTATACAAAACAAATATAACTCAAACGATTTTTAAAATTGAATTATTATTATACTTATTTACTGTTTTAAAACTATTTATTTGTATAAAAGGGCAGAAAGCAAATTTCTAAGGTCGTTTCATAGATAAATTTTTTTTTTTAATATTAAGATTATGATAATTAAAACTTTAATTTTTTTACACAAACGGTCAGAAACATGTTAATTTCAACTAGAACAGGGTTAAATACCGAATTGTTTTAAATTATTGCTTTTAAAATGACTTATAAAAATATTTGCGCTTTTTTGGTACACCCTGCCTTTTTAATGTGTCTACAGTTTGACACATTTAATAAATTATGCGTTGATATAATTTAAAATTTTATGTTTAAGTTTTTGTGGTTTGTTAGGTTTTTGTTTTGTTGTTATATTTTTATTTTTACATTAAGATTATGAATGTTTAAATAAAAAACATAAGAACAAAAGAAACATTTGTAACTTCTATATAAAATTTACAAATAAATACAAATAAAGTAAATTATAAATTTGTTAATTCAAAGAAAATAAGAAAAATTAAATTAAAAAAATTAATATTAATAAAAAACATAAAAATAAGAATTTTTTTAAAACTATTGTTGATTTTTGTTTGTTCTTAAATATTTGATTTTTAAATTCATAAAATTAAGCATTTAAAAATAAAAAATATAAGAATAAAACATAACATTATGAATGTAAAAATAAAAAATATAAAAACAAAAAAATATAAAAAAATTTAAATTATTAAAATTCGGAGGACAATTTAAATAAACCAAAATATCAAAAAATTCAAATCAAAAGGCATCGAAATGAGTTTATTAACCTTTTATTTAATATTAATTTTATAAATATTTATTATTATTGTACTAGAACAATATTCGCTGCAATTTGTACTAGTCCAATATTGGCCACAATTACTTTTGATTGGTCAAAAATTTACAAATAAGGGGTCATCCATTAATTACGTGAAGCAATTTTGGCGAATTTTCGACTCCCCCTCTTCTTGGTGAGATGTCGTGAGATTTTGCTCGACCCCCTCCCCCCTCGCTTAATCTCACGTGAGATTTTTTAAAACGCATGGTTTTAATGTAAATAAGTTAATCTGTGATTGATTTCATTAGATTTATTAAAAAAAAACAATTGTTATCATTTTTTACTTAATTTAACCCAGTTTTCTCGCAATGTTACACTGTTTCATTCGAAAAGAAAAAATTACGTGATATTTGCAGAGTCCACCCTCCCCCCACGTGTGATTGGGTGAGGTTTGGATTGACCCCCTCCCCCCTAAACACCTCACGTAATTAATGGATGCCCCCTAAAGCGCTCTGGTTGATAAAATTTTAACAGATGACATGTGAAAAAAATTGTCAACTATATTTTCTTTGAAGGTCCCTAATTTTTGATAATAATATTATTTTATAATTTTTAAAATATTCAAATTTCCGTATTATTCTTTTCATATACCTATATACATTTATTTAAATTTGTCTACTATTCTTATTTTTATTATTATTATTAGAAATTTATTTATTCTCATTTTATTATTTATATACATTTATTTAAATTTGTCTACTATTCTTATTTTTATTATTATTATTAGAAATTTATTTATTCTCATTTTATTATTTTTTACTTCTTCCTATTCATTTTTATACAATATAAAATGATTTTCTCCGAGGAGATTTTTATTTGGTCATTAATAAAATTATTCGGAAGAATACCGAAATATCAATTTAGAAGGGCAAAGCCATGCAATTTTTCACACGTAATCCCGTGCACATCCCCAGTTTATTTACTGGAGCATTACTGGTATTAACCTTGTCTCAAAGTTGCCACTTGCTCATGAGCAAAACACTCCCAAGTGACAAACTGCTCTTACTAAAACATCCATTAATAACAACCACAAAGTTTGTAGTACAGATGCGCAATTTCGAAGCGCAAATTTCTTGAATTTATTACAAATTACCATCTGTATTTTGTTTACAGACATTCTTCCATACAAAGTGGAGAGCGGTGGAGTAACCCGCGAGTTTCTTCAGAAAGTAATCGATGTTCTGTTGGACTTCGTAAACGATACCAACGACCGAAATGAGAAAATCCTGGACTTTCACCATCCAGAAGAGATGCAGAAACTCCTGGACTTGCAGGTTCCCAACGAGGGCGTCTCATTGCAACAACTGGTCCACGACTGTGCTACAACACTCAAGTACCAAGTCAAAACTGGTAAGAAATAAATAACCCTTATTAGTATTATCATTATTTAAATTGGTGACTGGTAGTTTCTTTCTATAGCAATAATATATTAATTGACATTTTCAGACTCATACAAATTGTCAAACTATAGTAATGAATTCAAGAAATATATGAGTAAATTAGATGCACAACTTTGCAGGATTAGATAGTTTAGTAAATAATTCAAATCAAAAGATTTAAAAACATAGTTTTGCATCTTCCTCGTTCAAAGACCAAGTTTTGCAAGTGAAAAGTGCAAATATTTGCACTTTTTTGGTATATATTAAAAAATAACAATTAGGTAATCAGGTGATTGTTATGTCGTCACGTAATGCGTACAAATACCCAGTTTTGCATCTTTCAGGAAAATGAAGATCAAATTTTTTTTTTGCTTAAATTGACTTTTGGTTGGATTTTTATAAATGTTTAGAGTTTTGTTTACTTACATTTAAGACAGGAAGTGCACTTTTTAATTTTTTTACGTTTTTTTTTCAGAAAAATGTGTTTAGCTAGCTTTATATATCTCCACTGTGTTACCAATTTGAAATCCAAAATTTAATTCAATAAAAAAAGTTGTTATAAAAAAAATTTGAAATAAAATGTACTTAGTTCACAAACGTTTGACTCCAATTTTTTATTTTATTTTTTATTAAAAATTGTATGCCTTCTTTAAATATTTATGTTATTTAAGTTACACCATTCCGATTCTTTGTTAAAAAAACAATACAATTAATATTTTCTTTTAGTCACTGTATTAGTGAGTTAAACTCTAATTTATAAACAGGTATTACCAAGTGATAGTAAAATCATTTTAAGGATTTTTTTTAACAAAAACTAAAAAAAGTAACGAAATAGACATTGGTATCACAACGGACTGGGGTACACAAATCAGATAACGTAAATAAGAAACTATATAGGGTGGTACGATTTTAGAGTAATGCATAAACAAAATCCCTTGTAGTGGTGCTCACTTGCAGAATAACAACTTAGATTTCTAAATTATAGACACCTTTTTCTTTGACTATAAGTTGGTGAAGGTCTTTCGTCCCTTTTAGTACTTGTATATTGCGTGGATGTAATCTATATCATGAGTTGTAATCACAAATAATTTTAAATTGGTTTATCATAAACTACTTTTAATAAAAGCGACGATAAATATCCACTTTGTTGTCGAAAAATTCTATTGCGTTACCCTAAATTCCATTGCGTTACCATAAGGTTTAGTGCCCTAAAATAAACATAAACATGAAAAATAGTATTTTTTCTTACCTTATTTTTATTATTTTTTTGAGTAACTTAGCGGACAAACAATTATTACATTCGCGTTACCCGCACCTGTTTCAACCGATATCTTCTTCCTGATTGAATAAATAAATTCAGCTGAGTAATGCGTACATTCGAATATCATTTGTTGATCACGTGAGTGCCAAAAAAGTTGCCATATATATGTTTTTTTATTGGTAACGCGACGGACGTAACGCAACGGAAAAAATGTCTGGGACATGAGTCAAATTTAAAAAAAGTAGATTAAAATTAATTAATTTATATATAAATTGTTTACTGTATTAACTAAGGATGTTGGAGATTGGTATAAAGCAACACAAAGTTCTGGTTATTCAATATTTAAAAAAAACATGTATGTAAGTTTTATAAAACGCGGATGGGACATGCGAAAATGTGTGTTTTACAAGTTTTAAAATTAGAAAAAAAAATTCTGAAATAACTAAACAAACATTTCTTCTGAAAGAGTTTACTAAGGGCTTGTTAGGCTTTCATTTGGTTTTTAAATCAATAGGATCCGATAATTTTTAACAAAGTTATTGGAATTCAAACTTACGGACAGCGGAAGGCGGGTGTTTTTTGAAAACGACCCAAATAGGATAAAATATATATTTTTTAAAAATTTGCAATAACCAAGTTTTGAATCTAATGTACTCAATGAGTACTACTCATATCTAAATGCTTATTTTAAATAAAATCCAAAACTATCAACATTTTTAGGAACAGATTTCACTAGTGCTTTTTCAAAAAATATATCTGCCAAAAATACAAATGTATCTTAATACAATCAGATATCAAATATGCCATATCTGCGGCGACAGTGTAAATAGCTGCAGTGTGTCAGTAATTGAATCAGTGGTGGCGAACTGCGGGGGGCGCTATTAACAAGCTATTGAGAACGCCACAGGGGCCGATACGCCGACATTTCCTGCTACTATTGCTACTCCTGCAAGGGAATGTCACAGGATACGAGGGCGCATTCCCTTTATACCGTGTGGGTTTTCGATCTACATCTTCAATCTTATCCTCTTCTTATGCAGAATTTCAATTTTAACAAAAAACCTTGAATTCTAGATATCTTTACTAAAAAATAATAATAAAAATAATAATAATAATAATACTTTATTAATCCAACAGACAACAGTCCATATAAAGGATATAAATTATTTAGGTTACAGTGACAAATTACAGTTATATGTTAACAAATTTAAAATAGCTAATTAGGACAAAATACCATAAATAAACCAACTTAGGATAATGAGCGAATAATTCGAACAAATGAATTAAAATTGTGGTGAAAAATATCACAATTATTCAAAATTTGGTTTTAAGTTCTACACATCGACGTCAATAGAGCATGCATGTTCTGGTTGTATGTGTAAGCATTTAAATTGTTGTTCAGGGTCTAATATTAATCCAATAATTAGCTTATATAAATAAATTAATCCTACATTTCAAGACTTTCCATATTAAGGTAAAAAAGTGCAGTTTCATCATAAAAATCTATTAAAGGATAGTAGCCATCTTAAAAAACAAGTATTTACAAAATCCCTTTTGAACTCTTTCAATATTATCGATATGAACAAAGTAAAATGGTGACCAAATAACACATGCGTACTCAAATTTACTTCGAACAAATGCAAAAAATAAACATTTTATATCGTGAATATTAGTAAAGTGTTTAGAGTTTCTAATCACAAACCCCAACATTCTATTTGCAGATGCAACTGTATTGTTAATGTGTTAACAATTGAACAATTGCCATCAAACAGAACACCCAAATCCCGCATTGTATCAACTCTTTCAACTTTTTCCGAACCAATTGCATACTGAAATATTATGCTGTTGATTTTTATTGAAAATGTCAACACATTACATTTCTTTATATTATTATTTATTATATAAATCTATGTTCCTCAAGTCTGTCGATTTTTATAGCCACCTTTTCAAACCAAGTAACCTAAATTTAAAAAAAAAATGTATTTCAAACTAGGGAGAAGTGTTAATTCCAAGCTATCTAATTTAAACGAAATGAAATTAGGAATGAAATTTGGTGCGAAATTCAATTTAAAACTATTAAAAGCCAACCCCATGCATAATCTTCAAAATTTATGTTTGGCGTACAAAAAAGATTCACCCCAAGTCATTATTATTCCGGCCGCAATCTGCTTTGGGGTAGATAACATATTATCATTGAATTACAAGCTACTCGCAGATATGAAAGCAAACAGATTTTGATGCCTCCGTCCGTAAATACATGGGGTTGAAGTGACTGCACTTCCTCCTTCATTGCTATGGACGTTTCGGATTTTTGACGGTGGGAAAAGAGTTAACAGTTACGAATTTTGGATTATAGAGTGCCTGTACAAACAAAAGATAACTCTGGCCAACGAATTTAATTTTTTATGTTTGTGCAGTACTTGTTTTTGTCTAGAACAGTGGTGTATATTTTTTGGGACTAACCCAAATTAGTGTTTTTTATTTGTTGAAATGAAATATAAAATACACTGAATAAATTGAATAAAAAGATCACGTAGGTGCTCTATTTTCCTATATTACATTACCTTTTACAATTCCCACAAACGAACCAATTTATAGAAGTAACCAAATAACTAATAAATCCATTCATTCATAACAAGAACGTTGACAGTGGGAGAGACTAGTGTAGAGTAGCAATGTAAAAGGAAATGTTAAATGAATAGAAACACCCTTTTCTCCCAGGGGGCTGCGAATTGAATAAAATCAGGGTCGATTTGAGCACAGACTATTTGATAATAAACAGATATTTATTAGACGCGTGCCATACTAACAAACAAACACTTCAAAAATATATCAGTCTAGAAGAATAACAACACTATAAATATGTATCTTTCAAATGTTACTGCAGTATCTACGGTTAAATATCATTAGTTTTAACGGTTAATAATCATTTAAAGTCTCTAATGACAACAATGGTGGACGTTTAAACAAACCTTTCAGGGTTAAATTTCAATACTTGGATGTTCAATATCTTACGTCATCTAAGTCTCTTTTAAATCACACCGCGGTAGTATAAAAATTCAATCTTTTAAAAATGCCGGGATGGTCCATAAACGTCATTTCTTGAATAAAAAGAGGGCCATGAATTAGTATGTTGGTCTCAGGTTGTAGCCGTCGCAGTAAGCCCTGTAAGCCGCGGATTTTCCTGTCCCTCTTTCCGGGGAATTATTTGTCTGGGGGCCATTCGTTTTTATTTACTCCAGAGTTGCAGAAGATACCCCCTATCGTCAGATGCATTGTAATTCAAAGTTGCGATGTGGAAGACAAGTAAGTCCTTGCAAATAACGAAGAATATTTAAAATTACACAGTAACAAAATATTTCTTAATTTTAACCAAATATTAACCAGATTTTATGTTAACATGTGAATTCACATAACCTTATGTTAAGTTTACAATATATTAAATAAGTAGTTATATTATAACAAACATTTTGTAGATTTAATAACAAAATCATATATCAATATTTCAATCATAATTCTTGTAATTTTCAAAAACAGCCTTATTTTTAAAAACCTTTTTGTAGACCCAGTGACAAAAGTATTTGTTGGAAATTGGAAACTTAAATGAAAAGAATTTTAATAAGAAATGTGGCTTTATTAATCATTTTCCTAAACAACAAAATTAACAAACCTACAAAAATTAACACAAAAATAACATACACTCAATTAAA